AATCCGCAATAATTATGCTTCAACCTAGTATTTGGTTTCTTCAATGAAAATACGTTTTGACTCTCTCTTGCCAAATTGGTGTTTGTCTTGAGATTGAGTGCAAACTTTTTCCTTTCGAAATCTTTATTACTTCTCCCTGGGGCCTCCAAATCCTCTTGAATGTCTCTATCAGGAGTTGTATAAGATATAAAAGGTAAACAGCGGGATTATGGCTATGGCTAGGGGGAACATCGAATGTACACTCGAAAGTGTACGATCTAAATAAAGGATAAGCGATAAATCATTGCACGTTGACCAATCCCGTCTGAGGATTGCGCCCTTGCATTCGACTCCCATTCATAATCGTATTGGCGTATTGAAAGTGTATTTCCCAGCACAACAATTGTGGTGTCCAGGCGATGTACGGGTTAGTGATTCTATCCTCCCAGACGAATCTAGTACCAATTGACGGACCCCTTGGAGATGGAAGGCTTGGTCTGGTTGAGCTAGGCGGATAACGATTTAAATACTCACTATTACTTTCTCTCACTTATTGCCTACAAAAGGAATGTAAAACAGGAAAGAATGAAACGCATTCACGACAGTGCTTCGTGCTCAACTCAATACTAGCTTTATTTTATTTCTTTGCGCCCGGAAGACGCACTACAGACGGACGGGTCCGGGAACCTCTCCCTTGAGACGGCGTCGCGCACGCCGCACCCGCCGCGTATCGCAGACTGCAGTGGCAGATTGGAGCGCGCAATTTGTGAGGTAGAGAGTCCTTTCATTCTCTCTTCAATTGTAATGCAGTCTTGATCGTCGCTTACATAAGACGAGTAATTCTCATTAGTCAAATCTAATAAACAGTGACGGTAGTTGCAGTGACATTTGCCGCATGCCGCAAGGGAGAATGCCGCAATCGGGGAGAAGTTCCGTTACCCCAGACGGACGAGGCGGGGAAATAGAGCAAAGTCGTGGTCAGATCAAATCGAATTAAATGGAAAGAAAAGAAAAATCGGAATCAAAACAAAAACTAGTAAACACAACAACAACTGGAGTGGTGGCAGATTCTATTTAAATAAAAGGCTGCTGCTGGAACAATACTCGAACGATAGAAGTTTTGTTTTCTCAGCATTTTTTTAAGAAGATAATGTTTCATGTGTTTGTATCCAAACAAGGACAGCAACATAATCGAAGGAGATTTCCGAGAGCTCCCTACAAACAGCTCGTTCGAATGTGATATCATTGAGTCAGAGTGCAACAGAGAGGGCTACAACGAGACTGAACATTATCTTCACATGCAAATCTATGAGAACGAAACGTGAGTTCAAAGTCTCATTCATCGCATGAGAACAAAGGGTTCCCGTAGGTACAGTTTTCGTCCTCTTAAGCTATACTTTTTATTCATAGATCGGAAAGTCAAATGAATTCGCTGCCAAACGTTTACATGATAATGATCGATTCGACTTCGACATTTATGGTTAAAAGGTGATTTGTTCTCTATTTTTTGGACCACTTCGAATTAACGGTTACGGTTTATAGACCGATAGCAAAGGCGGGGCAATAATGTACTTCTTGCTGTACCTGTGATTTTGAGGGATCTGAAAGCATGAATTTAGGTGTTGTTCTAAGTCATTCGCAGCGAGAGAATAAATGCCACACGGCTTTGACCATATAGATGAAATCGATGCAATCATGGTCTCTCTACAAATAAGCACATTTCGGAACTGAAAAACCAATTATACAAGTAATGACAGGGTTGCATTCACATTTTTAACACGGAAGGCGAATTGTTTTCGAATGTCGCCGTTATGATTGTTATCATAAAATGCATCACTAACTTTTAATATCTTTACTTGACTAGGGGTACTTTAAGAATTACTGATAAATAGGCGAAAAATCCAGATTTTGATTTGTAAGGTTAACCAAAATGCGCTGTACAGTGACGGGCCACCACACCTCATTTCCCTTGGCCATGAAATAGCTCTCACCCTTGAACTGAGACTTTTTTGGTTAGTTGTTGGAAGCACAAAGTGGGCCACAACTCATTTACTATTGGGTTGATTGCAACGTCTTCATAGGGCATTTTGGAAAGTCTGGAAATTTTGATTTTGGATCGATATCCATGATGTATTATGTGATAATTGCTGAACATACTAGTGGTTTCTTCGCAAGATGTACATGTGGACGCGTACGTTCTTTGGTTTGATTACGATGTCAACTTCGGAAGATATTTTGAGCATCATTTCCTTTGAGCGCGCAACATTAACGGCGCCACTGTACCATCATTACCGTCCAACACTCGTTCGCTTTCATCGCAAAAGGCAGCACGACTTTTGAAGGCCTCGGTCAAGGCGCCCCATGCAGTAAAACGCTCGGCCGTTTTCGACGGTATCAAGGATAATTCGGTGGGTACCCCGAGTGTACCCAAGTCAGTCGTCAACCGCCTTCAGATTATTGCGGTCCATCTGAAAACACTCCTTTCGGTGGGTCTACACCGGGTGATCTACATGTCAATCTCTCCTTCTCTGCTACTATCGCTAGGCATTTCCAGAAGACCCGGTTTTAGGAACTGTGTTGCATTCTCTTCCACTACAACTCACGCGTCCGGCTACATACGAGCAAAATCGAACAACCATTCCAAGAAGGTTCTTCTGTACTGCCTCTGGAACTCGAGGGTAATGCCGTATTACGAGCTGCTTCCGCCAGTGCACACGGTTACCACTTCCCCTTAGGCCCCTCGGCTTTGAAAACTCTAGCTAAGCTACAGGGGAAAAATGGCGAGACGAGCTTCAGAGAACTCCCTTGGTGATAACGCCTGAACTCATATAGCTAACGGTACCCACCAAAAAATTGAGGAACATAGCTGAAGGACTTTACCCTATCCTTTATTTTTTTGTCGTGGTCCGCTCTGATTATCAGTTGTTCTGAAGTTTTACAAAGTTTGATGGCATAAGTCGGGCCGGCTTCTTCATTGTCTCACCAGTTTCGAGGAAAAATTTATCGCAGACTTGCTCCATGGGTAGACCCTTAGTGATGACTAACAATGATGATGGTAATATTGTTCATTGGTCCTCATTTTCTGCTGAATTAAAAACAAAGCGGAAAAAAGTGAAAACCCTACAAGAATTGTCGATAAACCTTACACTTCCATTGAAAGCGATTAGGGTTTGGCTATAATTATAGCGAAACTAGCAATTAGTGGCGTAGACAAAGGTACCCTGAAGGAACGACGACTTCGACGAGTGGATTTATTAGGTTTATGTTGTGTTATGTTATGTTTATTACGCTGCTAAGACACACGTAGTATAAAAGAATGACAACCTTCCGGAACAAACCTAAATAACGGAATAAATACAAGGAACACATGTAATCGTAACTAGAGAAACACGTAAAATAAGGTAATAGTGCAATTTCAGGGTTAGATATAAAACAAAGGAGTAGAAGAAGAAGAGGTCAGCCGCAAGGAACTAGGAAAGCTCATACTTAGATAAAATTACAGCCACAGAGCGTTTGAACTTTGACAAGGAATCCGGAGTGTTCATGTTTTTTGTTACCTTTTTGTAGAAGCTAGCCGCTCTGAGTGTGAAACTTCTAGCTCATACTGATTTTCGGCCTGATGAGATTTATTTTGGTCTGACAGCCTCTGGTTCGGGAGTGAGCCATATTATAAAAATCAAATGAACCAAAGGTATTGCTTTGGTGCAGTAGCTTGTAAACCATACATACGTCGAATACCTTGCGCCGTGATTCCAAAGTAGAGAGTTCAAAGTATTTGTTGCGAATAGATGCTTTAGGAATCCTAGTATATAGGAAACTTCTGCATCGGCAAAAGATTATACGCGTAAAATTGTTTGTACCTTCTCAAGTGCTTCAATATCCCTTCTCCTAGAAGGGTTGAATACAGCAGCACCACTCTCAACCAAAGGCCGAACATATGTTCTATATGCTTTAAAAAGGATGGACGTATTAGTGGAGGACAACCCCTTGAAGATGTACAGTGTACGCCATAAGGCCAGGGTACATCGGGTCTGACATATTTATAAAAGTCAAGTTAGTCAGTATCATGAAAACCTAGGTCTCCCACAAGTGTCAGGAGTGATTGAAACTCCTTCAACTGTATAGGGACTCGAGAAAATCTCGGATTTTGTGTCAATCGTCATACACTTGGTTTTCTGTGGGGGCTGCCACCGCTTAGCCCAATCATTTAATATGTTTATCGCCATCTGCAGTCGTTCCTGGTCCTTCGCTTCGGTTATGACTTTGTAGATTTTCACATCGTAAGCATACATTTTTGTTGAAACATCTTATCCATCAAACAAACTAGGTATCTCAGTTGTGTATATATTAAACAACACCGGCGACAGAACTCCCCTTGCGGCACTGCACTCAGCACACTCCTACTTTCGTAGAAACTCTGTCCTACTCGCACTTGGAAGGTCCTGCCGTGGCAGAAATCGAAAATCCAATTTAAGAGAGCGGGATGGAAACCCGACATCTCCAGCTTATGAAGCAGTCTATTGTGAAGTACTCTATCGAGGACTTTCGCAAAGTCAAAGTATATAACGTCACAACATCGACTATTATCAAGAACTACGGTTCAGTCCTCAAGGCTTTCAATCATGTTCGTCTCCACCGATCTTCCAGGGATAAAACCATGTTGGACACGTGGTATTATTCTATAGCCGCAGCAGACAGTTTGTTCTTCACCACTTTGTGGACTTGACGAGCTGAACTGAACCATGCTTGATGAAAAAGGAGAAAATCAAGCCACTTCTAATGAAACTGTAGAAGAATGCTAATTCGGGTTTTCGTAATTTTTCCAACCATTTATAGTGTGCACAGAATACTGTAGGTTCAAAATCGATCAAGGAGTCTTCACTAATCTCATGTTCGAGGCCGTAAAAAAAATTATTGTTGGAATCGGTCCCTTCTCTTTTGTAATTTGGGTGATCACATACTTTTGCAGATCTTTACCAAAGACTCTGCGGTTCTTGAAGAACAATATAGGAGCAGTTCAAATGGACTTTTTGAATAAAGTTGGGGATAACAGCAGGCCGAACGGCTTTCCTCTGCTTTTCGGTATTCTGTCAAGTTTACATTATTTATTGAAGCGAATTTTTTTTGGTATGAATAACTTAACTTTCAGGCAAATCTGTTGAAAAAGTAGACCGTGTTGGACGACCACCGGAGGAGCCCGATTGGAACAATACGGAGATTTGCAACAAATGGTTGGACGAGTATCCATATATTTTAGAGGAATACAAAAAGAAGGGCTATAAGGTGTGCATATTTATACATGTGCAACTGTTCCGCACAATATGATATTTTTCAAAATTTAAGAATGGCTACCAATCAGTTAGCGCTTATTTCGTACGGAGTGCCATTCTCATGCTTAATAAACGGAATGTTTCGCTTTTCTACTTGTAAAATTGCAAATTCAAAGAAGCTTCTTTGGAAATTCCTAGTCGATACTCGCTAAGCGGCATTCTCGCTAGTCAATGCTCGCGGCTTAGAGTATACCGCTTTCACCATTGAACCGTTTCTCTTTTAGTTTAATCTAATCTGAGGAACGGAGGAGGTGTTGTGGCAGGTGGCGCCTTTTATACACTCATGGTCACGTGTTAGAATCCTGTACCAATATTCGCCTAGGCCAACCGCCTTCTATCCCCACGGGGTCGGTTAATTGGTAGTAGACTCGTCTGGAAGGATAAAAGCACTGACTTGTACATCAGCTGGCCACCGCAAGTCATTATATAGGACACATACACATTCAATACGCCACTGCGATTCTGAATGGAAATCGAACGCGTGGGCGCACCCTCAGACGGGATTGATCAAGGCCTCAAGACTTTATCCTTTCTTCTTTAATCTCATCTAATCTCATACCACTACTGAGGACTGGGTACTGCTCGCTCGCTCGTTATTGCTCGCACTCGCTTTATTTACACCGAGTTCCAGTCAGCACTTGGAGAGCCTCAGAAATCTGTTGACCACCATAAACAAATGCTTCAAATTTCACTGAACGCTGTTTATTCTTCTGTAGATTCAAACCATAATAAGAAGGCAAACACTGCGAGTATCAGTTGCAGTGTACAGAACGCTAAAGTGTAGTGCTAACTCAATTGCTACCGGTCCGGTCCATTATATTCCCCCTCTGGTGTTTTTAAGAGTAAGTGATTAGGAGGTCTGGATGATTCATCACTTGGCTCCTCACTCTATGCGGCAAATGTGTATTCAAGTATTGTGCATCTTAGATTTGATTAGTGTAGGGTGCGTATTGTTACTATTCAATATCACTTCAATTTTTTGTTTCAGGCTTTGGTGTTTCTTTAATGAGACGAACCTTTCCCCATAAAGTGGACTTGTGGCGAGTAGGAAAGGGAGGGCGATGTTACTGTGAAGTCATAGGGCAAATGGAAGCTCGACTCCCGTCAGTGTGGATCAGCTCAACAGCATTCGTTTACATGGATTGTAGCCAGCTCTTTTCGCAGTTGTGCGCGCTGCTCTGTAACGACTGAAATCTCCGAACAGTGCTTATCGCCGTCTACTTCCTGTAACCTTAGATATGAGCGGCTTAAGAATACAAGAGTTAAGTCTAAGACGTTAACCGACTGCGTTTTTTGAATGCACGCCCGCATTCGACTTCCAATTGGAATCGTGGTAGTAGATTTGAATGAGTGTTTTGGGGGGGGGGAGGGGCTTATGCAATAACTTGCGACCCGCCGATGTTCGAGTCAGTGATTTTAGACTTCCAAACGAATTTTGACCCAATTCTCCTACCCCGGAGGTATAGAAGGCTCACCCTCCTGAGCAGACAACTATCCGGGATTTGATTCCTTAGCCGTGCGAGTGTGATAGTGTGCCTTTTGCGACTTCACCACCTTCGCCTGCTGAAAAATGTACTCCGATAAGATTCGAAGTCGCAGAAAATATCATTTGCTTTTCCATGTTTGCACTGTTTCCCATAACATTTTCCGTGTTCAGCCAGCTATGGTCCCTGAAATTATTGCGATCGAAGCATTCGGTTGTTACTCAAAAATTAGGTCCCTCAAGAGAAAAGCAAGGTCTATGTGGTGAATGCGCACTTCGAATACATCGAGCTCCAAATAAATTTTGGCACACGATCGGCTTTTCTTTGGATTTTGTGTTTATTTTACACGTATGTATTCTTAATTGTCAGAGTCTTGCTGCTGTGGATTACACGGTGGGCGTTATGTACTATCCATCTTGCAAAGGGATTAGAAGAAAGGAGGCGGATCACCTATACAGGTAACATGTCGTACGGCTTCACAAATCTGATTTTTTTTATATTTTCCATTTACCCTCCTCTCCATCCTACACTAGAGCGTGCAATTGTGATAACTGTTCCGTCTAAGAGAGGTCGAAATTAAGAATTGAAGAAATTTCTGATCGTCACTTTTCATAGAATAGAGGTCACTCTGTGTTTTCCTTACGTTTACTATCTCATTCGCTTTACTTGTTTTGACTGCAAAGTGAATCAATTCGCTTGTCTTTACTTTCATGCAATTAGGTTAGCAATATTACTAGTTTTTCACTGCTGTAATTGTCTCCACAGTGTCTCAGAAAAACATGCTATCTAGTGAAGCTTCGACCCCTTTCTTGTTTTTCACATACACATACATTATAGATAAACGTTATAGGACCATTTTATTCAAAATTCCCTTTTGATATTGCTCACCACTGCTTGACTACAAAGGAAGAGTACTGGCTGGTGTACCATCACCTCGCTCGCCCAAGTAGTTCAGTAAACCCTCATCGCTCTACAGGTAGAGTCAAGCCATTCCTTTCGTTCAGAGCATTCGTATAGAAAAGTTGGGCTCGGAGTCGTTAAGGTGCTCGTCAGATATCCAGTGTAATTAAGTCAGTAGTCGCCTGGATCCAAGATTCATTACAAAGTCGGTCCCTAAACGCTCCCATTGCCGCTTCCTTCCGAATAGCTACGGAGACCGTTGACTGTTGACCTCACGACTAGATACACATAAGTAGAGCATTTATTCCGTCCAGAGTGAAAGGAACAGAATGTAACGACTTGTTCCTCATAAACGTCGNATCGATTAAAGTTCCAGAGCCATAAATGTTGAGGCAATCTTTCCTTGGTGCTATACAAACAAAAATCCTCCGGAATGACTTGTATGAACAGCACGCAGATCCCAGGCAGCTTGAGATTGAAGTACCGCAAGTATTAATATCGGCAAAANGACTGTTGACCTCACGACTAGATACACATAAGTAGAGCATTTATTCCGTCCAGAGTGAAAGGAACAGAATGTAACGACTTGTTCCTCATAAACGTCGTCTCTTTCAAGTTCAGGCGGTTCAGGCGGCTCAGGCGCAAGCCGTTTCTTCCACAAACATTTTCAAATTCGACTAGCACTCGTTCTGCCTGCCCGATGTTCGTTGTTAAGCACTACATAGCCTGCGACGTGGAGGTGACGTGAATGTCGTCCGTCAACTTTCAGTTTCATGCCTCTTCGGAGCAATTCGACGTATTACGTTTGCGAGAGGCATAGAATAGTTTGGGCCTAATGTCATGGTGGCAAACCTCCCTCTTCACGTTGACCATCACTTCATTCTAAAATAGTGGTTTCTTGGACATGAAGTTGTTGTATAGCTAACGAAGCATTCTTATGTTGTTGAGCAAGAACACACTAGGCGTCGCAATGTGTCGACGGTAGCAGACGCCCTCTCTAAATCGACGAAAGCAAGTCATTTCGGCATCGTGTCCTCTCGCAATATTTTTATGAGCCTGGTGGCAGTGCGATCGATATGGAATCGATTGTGCATAACACTTTCTTAAAGCCTGCTAGCTCGCATGGTTGTTATCCACCCAACATTCGGGCGTTGCTGAGGATGACTCTCGGGATGAATTAATAGATCAGGGGCAGCAGATATACTGCGCGCTGATTGCCAATATCGTCCGAATTTCTCATCTTAAAAAAAGGCATACAGTCTTGCCAAATTTCCACAAGAAGACACCTTGCATTCCGTCAGGTACCGCATGGAGAGCTTAGCCAGGGTCATAAATTGCGGAACAATAACAGTAACACTACATGCTAAAAACATACGATTAGTCCTATCTAGATTGGCGAAGTAAAATTCTTCATCGACATGATGGCATACCCAATTTTGAAAGGGGGAACTGAAGTAGCAAAATGACTTCCTGCCTAAGATTGTAGGTAGATAGATAAATGTGGCGATCGAAGATCGTCAAATTATCCTAGTAGAAGTCGTAGATGAACTTCTTCATTGCCCTGTGAGATGCAGTAACTGTTACAAGTCAACTCCAACGGAAGTGAAAATGTTCCTAAGACGGGTGGCGATTTGTGGACAGAACTTCAGTCTCGGACGGAACTAGAACCCGTTTTTTGTACGCGAGACTAAAGTTTTATCCATAGTCTGCGGTGAAATAACAGCAACAAAACAACAAGTCGAAAATGTTCTTGGAACTGCAAACTACTTTTGCTCATTCCATTCCGTTTCTTTGTGAATGTGGAAGCTTTTTGTCACCCTCATAGGGTCAATCTTTGAGTTCAAGTCATTGACGACGCCTTTGAAGAGACAGTGATCCTTTCCGATCACGTTCATGAAAAGCGATTCCATCTTCTCTTCTTTGTGGATTGATGTTGGTGCGTAGACAGAGAAAACTGTGAGAGCTAAGGCAAGAAAGATCTTATTCACAAACGTTCGATTCGAGCCATGAAGCTTCCGTGTAAATCAATAGTGATGGTCGAGTGCATAATGCAAGAACACCACAGCTTCGCATGTTTCAAGAACCACCAAGCGTTCGCGCTTTAAAAGCACAGATTGCCACTGCACTGGTACTTAGATTGGGGCCTGGAATAGCCTTGAGAGTTAGCAACCTCTCCCAAGCGATTCTACCCAATGCTGTTATTTGGGGCTCTTTCGAGTTCAAGGGATGGAGCCCAATTTATATTCATGGGATATGGTTGTATTTCATTAATTTCACCTCGACGCTCGGCCGTTCTATTATTGTAGAGGTACGGCATTTATGAGACTAGCGCTGAATTTTTGTATAGAATTGGAAATGCAGAGCAAGCGTTCCTCAGAACCACTGCTTCCAACTACCTTGAATAGTTTCAACTCTTCTGATCTCTTCCATCATACCCATGAAGAAATTTCGAGGAAACAAAACATACTGGTGAACGATCATCGCGAATAATAGCGGTGTTGCAAACGTGAATCTACTCGGTAACCGCAATCAGTGAGACGGTACCTTTTCGCACCTCCGCTCACTCACTTGTCCTCTTTCAATTCAAATGACTCCTGTGGCATTCTCAGAAGAACCAGTTTTGACTATATGAACATTACTTTATCATCATTATTATTATTTCGTTATTACATATTAGCATTAGTATTAGTAGTAGTAGCAGTGCACTTTTTTAAATTCCCCTCTCTTGCCCACGTGCCTTCAAACAACATATTTTGTGACTGAGGTGACTGTAGCTGCACTTATGGTTTCTAAAAATGGGGAGTCATGGTATACAGAGTTCACAATGCTTTCAGGTGCTGAGAATTAATCAGAGGAATTAGAAGCTACAGCACTCGAGGAAATAGAAAGGGAATGTGCAAGTGGAAGGGGTGAAGGTAAATAAATTAGTGTATGGTGATGGGCTAGCTATATACAGGTATCCCTATGGATGAAAAGAAGTAAAAGCAGCATTAGGAGCAGCTAATCCTGAGCTGAAGCCTCAACAGGGGCTGTGGTCGAATCCAGAGTAGTAAGAGAAACTTTGTGCTCATACGATGCCAAACCCAGATCAGAGGTGGTTTATAGTGCGTTCATCCACATGTTTCAACATCTTTATGGGATCTACTGATGGTATCCGAGGAAAGCGATATAAGGTGTCGGAAAAAGTGCGAAAGATGTTTCTCTGTCAACTATATAGTTTGTCTGCATGCGCGGAGAATAGATGTTCCCCCAATTGCAATAATTTTTTCCTCTCACCTATGACTTCTTCAATATTCATAGGTTCCAGTGCTGCATATCTTATGTTCGCATGCTATACTTTGTTTTGCTTCAATTTTACTTCTCATACTTTGAGAGTGACGAAGTTTCTTACTCATACAATGATAATGTTACGCTGAGTTTGGCCTGATAGAGAGGTCAACAGCCAACCGATTAGGCGAGGTCGCCTCACATGCAGGCGAGGCAGCAGGCAGTGATCAAGTTGAGTCGAAGATTCCCCTGAGTCTACGAGCATGCAAAACTTTCTTCATATCCGCAGAAATTCGATTAGCGGCAACGAAGAACTTCCATTTCAACCCTCATTCCCAATTTCAACTTCAAAAACATCATAAACGTCAATTGGATCCAGCAAGCTTCGCAACCATGTGGATTTAATCGACAACAAAGAATTTGCTATCGATTAAAGTTCCAGAGCCATAAATGTTGAGGCAATTTTTCCTTGGTGCTATACAAACAAAAATCCTCTGGAATGACTTGTATGAACAGCTCGCAGATCCCTGGCAGTTTGAGATTGAAGTACCGCAAGTATTAATATCGGCAAAAGTCTCCTTTCCGGTAATGTAACGGTCTTTTGAATTCTTTTTGAGAGCTTCTTCCACCTTGTGTCGAAAAAGGTAAAACGGAGATTCGACAGAATTTGGGGAGAGACCTTCGGTTTGATAGTCTTTAGCGCTGTTGACGCTGCGCTTACGCGAAATGCTTATGGGAAGACCGTGCGAAAGGCTCGCCTATGAAAGGCGATCCCATCAGTTGGTATTCAAAAACTAGGGGCAGTACTCGAAAGTACCGAAATAAGTGCCTAGAGACTTGTCCGTTCAGCATGTGGTGCTTGGTTTCTCTTGATGTTAGAGATACAACAACTTGAACTTGTGTTTGACGGAATTCTGAAGTTTCGCTATCATTGCTTTTGCATTTGAGAGCCTTTTTCTCCTCACAGCTATCCTTTATTGCTTATCTGCTTGATGGCAAAGGTTGTAGTATGAGTAGACTGCGGCATGCTTGTATATAAAAGCCGTACAGCCTTGCGTCGTGCGTCTTCAGAGACTCCTCCAGAAGGACTTACCCACAGAAATGTACGACCAGCAGCATAGACAGATTCATGCTTTTTTCAATTTTCTGTGACACTCGATATTTTACTGCTCGATTCGGTTTGATGCTCCATTAGAAGTTATCACTTGTTTTTTTCTAAGGCATGAACTGTGGGGATATTAAATGTTGTACTACAATACAATCAGCAGTGAATGTTATAGTTTTTAGGTTTATTGTAAAAGATCAAATCTCTATAATATTGCATGGATGCTGACTCTAACAACTTATTTGTTTCAGACCATTCGACATACAAGTGCATAAGAAGATATACGCTGAAAAACATTTGGGGGCAACTTGTGGTGAATCACACCTCTACATGCTGCAGTTCTTGGAAATGTTCATGAATGCATACACAGGTGAAACCACTGAAGGCTGCATACTGTCTTTTTCATAGTTTCAGGACAGATGTTTGAATTGGTTAGAGCTGCGAGCTACACCTTGAAGGCACAGTTCACAGTAATTTCGAGTTAGCTAGTTCAAGCAAAATGATGGAAGTTGTGCAGTATCAAGCATACGTGGCGGAGTGCTCATAAAATAGGGATTTCATGATTTTACGGAAAAAAAGCTCCGAGAATCAATAGGAAAAGAGGGCTGTACTGAATTATAACGACAGAAAGGGATGTCGAGTAGAATGTCAGTTGTGTGTTATTGCGTAGTTGACTATAATAAGGCAGGAATGCCAAAAACCATTGCCAAAAATCACTGTCGCCACGAATCATTCGTTTGAATTCTAGCGTATGTGTTCCATTGAAAATGGTGCGACCCATCCTAGGTTTCTGAAACGACCGCCTTTGGGTGTGGCATGCAGTGATTACGATTTTCGAGATTCTATTGTGCCCTACCCACATACCTTTTATGATCTCACAGTGCCATATACGGTATACATCGGGGCCACAAATTCATACCAGGGGTACCAGCGAAACCATTTTTATCTTGAATCTTACCTTTGTGGTGTAATAGCGCACCGTTTGGCCTACCAAGCACTCGAATGCAGAGCGTGACATCCAGTCCTACCCTCATTGCAAGCTATGAATGGAATTCGAGGTGAAACATAATCAGAATATATCGAGGAAAATAAGAGTAGGATAGCTATGCTAAGCTTGACCATGCTGCGCATGAGAAAGATTTTCATAAACCACTCTCTCTGTTAAGTAAATTGCGCTGCTGATGACGACTATTCTAGGCCTGTTGAGGAGCGATTACAAGGGCTCAAGATCGAAGGTTGTCTACTATGATGTTGACTAATGTTACTCACAGAAACCGTTTCACCGAATAGCAGCTTCTACCATTGGGGATATAGACAAATATACAAATAAGGTTTCGTTAACCCATTGACGACCATGCAGTCCACATGTGGACCGCACTTATTCGGCATTGTGGGACCGTGCAGTCCACATGTGGACTGCAGCTGTATTTTTTGTTTGATTCATCTATATTTCCAATTTTTTACAATTTTTCTTCTTAAAGCAATACATCAGGCCTAAATGAAACTACAGACAGCGTGGTCCTAGAAAATCTTGTAATTCTGCAATTGTAAGGGTGTTTTTACGAAGAAGCACCTTTTCGAAGGACATCCCCTTGGTGAATTCTTCGTTCGTTGAACAACTTCAAAAAATGAGGTAATTCTAAAAGACGGTCGTCATCAGCATTTTCGCTGTTACCGACCAAATTCAGAGCTCCTAAAAATTCCTGAAACGATTTCTGGCAATGATTGAACTTATACTTGAATGACCACTAACACGAGTGCCGGTTCTATAGTGAAGATCAATAATCACCCAATATGGGCTTTCTTACCGAACCCATTTGAAGGAACATTCCGAAAAACTCATGAATTTCTCTTATAAACTTCAAAAATAGTCATGCTGGACCATGAAGTTCACAAGTGGGCTCAGTCGTAGGCGGACGAGAAGTGCGCCGGTCGCTCGCGGCGCTTTCCCCGCAAAACGTCATGGTTGTCAGTGGGTTAAGAAAAATTACTCCGAAGACAATCAATTCAATGGAGCAGCCATTGTTGTTTAGCATCTGTGACTAATAATTATTGCGGCTCTAGTAATTCGATGATTTTTAGGAATACCGAAGATCTCTCTAGTTTGGTTGACTCGTTTGGCTCACGACGCTATGAATACACTTTATCACGCGGATGATCAGTTTTTGAAATTCTTCAAAAAAAACCGGAAAAACTTCGAGCATTCGTTCCTCTTTTTTTTCGGAGATCATGGGCCACGTTTTTCAGGTGTGAGTCATCTTTCGCAGATTTTCCGTTACCATATTTGAAATTTTCTCGAACAGTTTGAATGTGAACTACGCTCATTTTAGCAGCACAATGATGTGGCAAGTGTTTCCTCTGTTAGCCATAACCTTTTTGTCTTGCAGCAGGTTCTTTTAAGAAAAGCTGGAGGTGCGTAAAGGGAGTGTCAGTGATATTCTGGGAGGAATATAGACTCAGTCACGATTACAAAAAATACAATCACTCAAAACTATGAAAACAAAGCTCAGATGCATACCTCCGAATGCGAAGGTTTTGCTCCCTGCCATCTTTTTTGTTTTTGTTGTTGTTTGTTTTTTTGGTCTTTGTTTTCGTATCGCTGGTTTAGTGAATAATCGTTCTCCAGCTGACGTCAAAATTCTGCTTTTCTCTTGAGCGACGAAGCCTTCGTTCTGCTGCAATTCTTTCGCCCAACGATTGCGAGCGATCAACAGCTCTCGTCATTTGTTTGTATCAAGCCTTACTTTTTTAGATGCCATTGCACGATTCGCGGAGCTGGCAAACGTTTCTGACCACTCAGAACCAGATACTTATTGCAGTAAGCTGCAGAGGGGATGCCTGGTTCTACGAGAGCTATGAGTAGAGTAACGAAAATCAATCAAATAGGAAAGCATGCAAGCGGTGAAAAATACTTAAAGAGCCAAACTCTCGAGGGTTTAGCGTGAGCAGAACTTTCCAAATTTAGTTGCCTTTGACAGGTGATCTACTGTTGTGTGGACTTCATTCCGCCTGATTTTCCTGCATAGCATTACGAACTCAAAGCATGGAGAAGCCCTTGCCGATTACCTGAAACTTGGTGCAATTTGGGCGCAATCTACCCCCTCGTCACGGTCGATGCGTTTTCCCTGTTCTTGAGCCTGTGTCGAAGTTTTTCGAGCAGTTGAACAGTTCAAACCGTCCTCTGGTTCAAGCTCAAACCGAGCTTTCTTCGAAACGTTCACTTTGATTTCATAATTTTGACTCTTCCTGTATTTCATTTCAGAAATCATTTCAGCGACGCGATACTTTTCAAATTCCAGCTATTTGCACATAAGTTCTGAATGAGTTGGACTGCATGTGTTTAAGATATCTTTTGGTTGATTCAATTTCAGATTCAAGACGTTCGGCTTGGACGATATGAGAACCGAAATCCATTTTTCCTGATGGCCCTCCCAAAAATTATGCAAAACACTGCAATTCATGAAGAGCTACTAACCAAGTCCATGCAGCTGATGACCCACTTCGATATTCATGCTACATTAAACGACATTTTGCATGTATGCATCACATTATAACTGCATCTCAACATCTGAGACCACTACTTTAAGCCGTCACATTGCTCTTGTTGCAGTTGCCGCACCAGTAATATTACTTGACTTTATAGTATCAGCCACATTCAAAATACTCGGACACTACGGAGCGCAGAATGCTGCCTATCAGCAAAGGTTCATCTTTGCTGCGAAAATGGCGAGGACCGAGAAACTGTCAAACACTACCGATTCCATTCGACTACTGTATCTGTCAGTACGAAAAGAAGAATGTAACGTACGTCATTCGAAATCAAATAGACTTTACCCATCTTTGACTAGGAATGTTAGGACAGACATACGACATCGGTGTCAGTGCATCGGAATTGAATTGCTGCACGTGAACGACTTGTTTCTATGCACCAGCATTTATGTGATTATTGTCCTAATGTAAGGATAAAGTTTTTGGCGTCAATCAATCCCGTCTGAGGGATGCTCCCCCGCACTCGGCTTCCATTCAGATTCTAGTGGCATAGTGATTGCGTATGTGGCCTATACAAATAATGAATTGCGGTGGCCAGCCGATATACAAGTCAGTGCTTTTATCCTCCCTGACGAGTCTGATAACAACTCACCGACCCTAAAGGGATGGAAGGCTTGGTCGGCCTAGGCGAGCATCGATCCAGAATTCGAACTCGTGACCATGCGTGTGTGAAGTGCGCCACCTCCGTCCAGAAAGGAGTAGAATGGTAGGATCGGCTTTGCCTAATTGTTTACCAAAGTAGCTACCGAGTCTAACTATTACCATTAGATGAAAAATCGGTAAAGGGAGAATGAATGAAGAAAGAAAATGTCACAACAAATGTCCTTGTGGGAACACAACCGGTACCGTCACTTAACACTCAATGCACCAAGTCACCCGGCAAAATTTTTGAGGCAATTGATGGGACAGTTGAAATAATCAATCGAGGTCATGAAACACTGCACGTTACGTCCAGAGTGCTTTACAAGAGACAGAGATAAAAAAGGTAACACCTAATGTGGCGGAGGTGGTGTAGTGGCAAGTGGCGCATTGTATCACACGCACGGCCAGGGGCTTGAATCCCGGATCGATGCCCGCCCAGGCCAACCAAGCATTTCATCCCTCTGGGGTCGGCGAATTGGTACCAGACTCGTCTGGGAGGATAAAAGCACTGACTTGTACATCGGCTGGCCATCGCAAGTCATTGTATAGGCCACACACGCACTCAATACGCCACTACGATTCTGAATGGAAGTCGAGTGGGGCTCACCCTTCAGGCGGGATTGATTGACGCCAAAAACTTTATCCTTTATTTTTCTTATCCTAATGTAGAAGGTGAGGGGCTTGGCACGTTCACCCGACACCGCCTCATGCGCGGACGAATGTAGTGCAACAGGATCGATATTGTCGCGTCGCGGCGAGAGAGACGCCGCGGCGAACGAATGTACAGAATTCAGCGGGAGGTAAGAAATACAGAATCGAAAAACTAATAGTAGAATCATGAGTAATGATCGCTTATCGACTGAGTTTTCTGAACAAGCTGAAGTTGTAATAACGGCGGAGCGAATGGTCCGCGACAGCGGCAAATCGATTACACCGAACGGGTTTTACTGCCCGTCTCCTTGGACACAGCCCTTCATCACATTTGAGATGAAGGATCCTGATCGAGGCCGTCGACTGATTACGCTCAACGTCCTAGTGTCGACGTGCTGACTGAGGGAGTCCAGCCACAACATACCAATTTTGTGAGGGGTGACGACGAGTACTAGCATCACATTCAAGGAACGAGTTATTAAGAAGAGTACTCGGCTTTTTTGTTGCTGACGAATTGAATCGTACGCTGGAAAAGATGGGCTATGCTGAAAAATGTCTGAAGCAAGAATATAAGAGGGTAAATAAAGTTATACTGGTTCCAGCAAAGGCGTAGAAGTATGGGTATTTTTAGGCCATTGAAATAGAAGAACTGCAAGTCGGAGTGAACACGCTTTACACTGTCTACGTTGAGTTACAGCCTTCAAATGGACTTTTCTCGGTGTGTGGCTTATTCTTTGCTGCATCGTTTTCAATTTGAGACATAATCGCTGCAGACAAAAATTGAGGCCATTGGGATTTCTTTGCAAGCGGTATTCTAGCAAACGTCGCTAGCGTCGTATTTTTACCACTTGGATCGCTCTGCTAACGCTGGGCTCTCCTTTCCTTACGTTGAACAAGAAAGCAGGAATTATTAGGTTGTACGGAAAGAATTGCGCGTTTGAGCTCGAAAGTTTTTTATTATAAAAACGAAACTAAACATGATCAATTCAAAAGGTAATCTCCATTACTATCAATGGTTTGTTGCCAACGTTCACGCAAAGAATGGATATTTCTCTTGAAGAACACGGCCGGCTGCGACCCAAAGCAGTTGAACACCCAGAGTTGGACTTCTTCGCGGTTTTTAAACTTTTCCTCGGCCAAGAAGTGCTGCATCGATCGGAACAGGTGGTAGTCGGATGGTGCCCATCTGGGCTGTAAGGCGGATGGTGCAAGATTTCCAAACTCCTATTCCTGAATTTTTTCCTAAATGATTTTTGCGATCCATACCCGGGACCCGACCCGCGACGCTACGGTGCGATACCCATTTTCCACACCTGTTCGTCTTGCCAATTGCCAGCACATGTTCATGGATGGTAGAGTTTGAGCAGCCAAAGTGTGTTGCCAGTTCTCGAGTGGTTTGGCGTGGATCGAATTCAATGACGAGCTCGAACAACTGGGGATCGACGACTTGAGGCCGACTTCCATGTTCTTCAACCTCTAATCTTTCATTACCGTTTTTTAAAAGCTGGAACCATCGTCAGCACTGGCATTTTGACAGGGCTTCTTCGCCAAATACCTCAGATGATGAGTTTCAGCAGCCTTTTGCCTTGCTTGAAGTCATACTCGCAGCTCGCAAAAAGAAGTTTCTGGCCAAGCACTTCCTAAACTTTTTTTCCTCTGAAAAAACAAAGTAGACCTAAACAAAAATATATCAAAACATACGCAATAAAAACTCTTTTTGAAAAACATAACTGTTTTGAAAAATCTTGTATAGCAGGAGAGAAATAAGTGGACAAAGTCAACGCGCATTCCTTTCCGAACAACCTAGTATTAATATTCAAAACAGTCATTACTTTCCTGCTCATCACATGAGCAAAGTTACGCTCGAACCCTGTGTGTTTGAGTATCTTATTCACTCCCCTTTACTCTAACTTGATCGCGTGTTTTTACTCAGATTACGCTCATTTTATGCATGGTACTCCCTCCCCTATCTCCCTACTATGGTTCCACGAGCTGGATTCACCCAGTCACTCTCTACAACATCGGTTTTTAAATCTGTTCTTGTGCTCGCACCACATTTAAACGCCCTAGGTCCGAAGCAGCTATCATCGCGTACACCTCGCCTCCTCTTAGCGAAGTCCAGCCACATGCCATCAATGCTTCCATTCCGCCTATTCTCATACTGCCGCCCATAGTTCTGCGAAATTTGAACGCCTACGTATGAATTAACAATTTTTCAGCATTTCCCAGCTCGTGGCTGAGTAGTCAAGTCGTGCCACCTCTCGTAATTACTTCCATCTTGCTGCCTGTACCCCTGCCAGTTTTAACGCTCTGGGTCCACAGGCGCAGGAGTTCCGAATTTTCGGTCGATACACACGCACACCGACACAAACAATAACACATAGACAAATCAACAGAGACACTTAACGCGTTATATACTTGCTTAGGTCTGACACCAGCATTGGCTGTTTATTGCGAAGAGCATTTCTGACTTTCGAGGCTGGGCACTTGGTCAAATGGGACGTAGAGGCAAAGGTTCTAATAAAAATACTCCGAAAAATTAACCACATAGTGCAATAGCAAATTCAGAGTAATTCAGAATAACATACAACATAAAAATATAAGTCATCCTAATCTGACTTGATGTTTTAAGAGCTTTAGTTTTTAGCTTCAGTTTTTCTAATTTTTGTGAGTTGTTATAAGTATCTGCTATGCCTTGTGCATTCTTCGAATAGGTAAATGGTAAGTTTTTCTCAAGTAATCGATCTTTGGTCTTATGTTTTAAGGCACTGTTCACGAAAAAATGGTTTCGGAGATTTGCACATGGTTTGAACTCGACGCCCCCTCTGATACCATTTGTGCAGGAATGAGGTCGGAAATGGTCTGGATAGGGCACAATAAGGGGCCGCAGAGTGAGCCACGGTCGCCCTCCGCCCCTCGCTAAGCTGGCTACGAAATCTGATTGCCGTTCACCACTTTCGCATTGGAGCGAAGTTGGTGAAAAATCGATAAGGTGGTAGGCAAATTGCCAGAGTCTGCCAGTCAGATTGTCAGGCAAATTGGGTGTGTTGTCTGCTATTGCAGACATTGCGTCGCCTTCGTGCACTCGCCCAGCACTCTCGTAATCCCCGTTCTTCCAATGTGAAACTCGTCCAACCCCCCTTTCCAGCTCTTTTTTGACCCTTTCTATTTCATTTTGCTCTTCGTTTTTTGCGCTTTTTTCATTGTTATCGCTTTACTCTAGAGTAGTTCTATGAATTCCCGTCAAAAAAGGGTACCCTAAATTTATCGTAAACGGTGCCTCTAAATTCTCCATCCCTTCAAAACCATGAAGGGGCCCCCGTGATCGTTCGCGGTTGATGTAGGATTCCGAATTGATGTGAAACGGGCACAACGAAGCACTGTTTCGATGTACAAGTTCATTCAGAAAGTATATGCTGAACGTTCTGCAATGGTCCAGGTTCCTTTTGAAGTTCTGTAAACTTTCATGGAATGCCTGACAAGGTACCTCTTGCCCGCTTATTTGACCCTATAAAGGCCGAACCTAACCCCTACTTGATACGTATTTCTTTGAGTGCTCAAATTCTTTCACTCCGCTACTGATGCTCATCGAAATTTGTCGCGAATACATATTCGACCTTGAAGCATCATTTCAATAGCTTTGTACGCGCCCTTTGAGGGTGCGCTATCTTCCGCCGCGCTATGAAGGGAAGGTTTGGATTCCCACTGGAAGAATGAGTCGAGTCTTTTGAAACCCGAAACAAGAAGATCGAAGGCAAGTTTCGATTTAGATATCCGAATGTTGCAATGCCGATAACCTCTGCTTCCCAGGAAATCCTCAGTGCGAATGCTACAGTGCTCGCCCCACTTTTCGTCTTCTTTCCATAAATCGGTCTAGAATTGAGTAATCCAGGAGCTAAGGGCACGGTTGAAATTATCTCGTCGAGCTCTATAAGCTGATACCGTAGAGTAGGAAAATGCTTCGTTTTGGAATGCGGATGCGTCATGCACTTGACTTCCATTCAATAAGTATTTGCATGTACATGCGGTGCACGCTTTAGCGCTTGTAGGAGCTCTTTGGTCCCTGAAGATGAAGTGTTCGGAATTCACTTCGAAGTGCGCTACTCACTCGACTTACTCAGTACAGTGTGAAAGCGATCGATCGGTTTTGTTCAGTCTCCATTGTTTATGCCTACTACAGCTTATCGATTAATCATTTCCTATAAAAATGAAATTCTCAAAAACAACACGCTGCTAATCGCAACAGTAGCACAATAATACAATAATTACGGCCTTTCGATTCCCCTAATCATGTTAGTGATACTCCGCCTTCCGAGATGTCGACGGTTGGTCTGCATCATCATGCCACCGTTGAACGTTCTCGCTTGCTCGAATGCTCGTTGCTCTGATCGATCGACCGTAATATCCTCGCCAATTCTGAGTATTCTAGCTCAAACTTACCTCTTTCTTGCGGAAGGGTACACAAAGCCGTATGGCGTCTTCTTGAGTTGCAAAACTTGCACACCAGTCGCATCCTTTTCCATCTCTCCTTTGGGTGCTTTGTATCAAGGCACAATTCGCAACGCACCCTTCTTTTAGTGTTTTGTACCGTTCTGTACTCGAGACAACCGTCACTATTGTGGAGTCCTTCCACGCTACAGAATGACCATCGAAGAAACTGGAAGCATTTTACCACTGAACGCTTGGTGGTTCAGTGGTAAAATGCTCGCCTGCCACGCGGGCGGCCCGGGTGGCGACCCTCGGCCGATGCACCAGTTTGACTTGCGCCTCAACTGCCAAATCTCGTGCCGTACTTCTGCCACGCGGTTGGTAAATCACACATTTTATTGCATGCGCGAACACCTCATACTTGGATAACTAAACGAGTGAGCAATAATATACATAATATTCCTAACGAGAATACTAAATTCTACAAAACCTTGCACTTTCTTGGTTTTCTTGCACCCCCTTTTTGCTAGCTTGCTCGTCAAGCTCGCCTTCTTATCAGTCATGCCATCTGGAAGGCAGCATGTCGCCTGAGGTGACAACAATAGAGATTTTCTACCTACTATAACATATCATATACCAATTAATGATTTCCTATAAAAACGAAACTCTCAAAATCATCACATTACTAATCGCAACAATAGCACGATAACACAATAACTGCTGCCTTTTGTTTACTCTAATCATGTTGGTGATAGGGGGGACCACTCGGGTGCCTTGTCCCTTGCTGCTCACATTGTGCCTGCTTTCGAATGCTCCTCTAGCGGCTCCATAAGGATGTGCTCTACACAGGGGAAAACTCGCTCTTCTCATTTTAGAAACCCTCGCTCCTTTCTGAAATGACGCTCTCTTGTCGCGTGGCATGCCACCAGGGCGTCGAAGCGAAATATTCAAGTCATGCCATCCCTGCTCAGGGCCCACGATAGTGGAGAAGTTCGGCTTAAATTCGTCTCGACGTCGCCTCAGCTGCATTCTCCTCCTGGCGCTTTTCCTTGAGCTGGTCCGATGCTGCTTGAACCCTTCCAGTCCGAGGATATCGCTCATCGTCAGCGCTGATCCGAGGCAAACCGTACGGTGTGTATACGGAGCGGTTTCCAGGACTTCCGTATAATGGCCTCTCACCACCGCCCCGAATCCTCGATCCGGTGGGGTCATGAACCATAGGAATTTCACGCAGTCTCTTCCCATCGCAGTCCATTCCTGCTGGTTGCTATCCTCGTACGGACTCGGGAAGTGCGAACTCTCTCACCGGCTATAGATGTCCTTCTAGGGCAATTAACAAGTGCCTCGTAGATCTTTCGATAGCTCCATGTACGACTTTCTATGAACCCCGGCATAATTGTATCATTGAGTTTCTGTTTTCTTGAACTCTTTACGAGGTTTTTAAGTATGCTTTATTAGGCTGCGGGATCGCCTTCTTCAGAGCCTGAAAGGATCATAACAATCTGTGACTATCCGATCAAACGTCTCCACCAACCCCACAAGCTCGAGACCCCCAGCACGCAAGTGATTGAAAGGAGAAACACTCACCGTAGCTTTGTGGATTCTTCGAAACCACCCAGCGAGTGATGGTACCAACCGAACAGTGTCAGCTGGGGAAGGCCACCCTTATATAAGGTCGAAGCTCACCCGTGATTGCGAGACATTCTTCCCTACGATTCATTTTGGG